TAAGACTTGTTCTCCAGGCCCCTCACCAGCTTCGTCGCCCTTCTCTGGACCCGCTCAAGCACCTCGATGTCCTTCTTGTAGCGAGGGGCCCAAAACTGAACACAGTACTCGAGGTGCGGCCTCACCAGAGCCGAGTACAGGGGGACAATCACCTCCCGAGCCCTGCTGGTCACACTGTTTCTGATACAAGCCAGGATGCCGTTGGCCTTCTTGGCCACCTGAGCACACTGCTGGCTCATATTCAGCCGACTATCAACCAATACTCTCAGGACGTTCTCCGCCAGGCAGCTCTCCAACCACTCATCTCCCAGCCTGTAGCTCTGCTTGGGGTTATTGTGCCCCAGGTGCAGGACCCGGCACTTGGCCTTGTTGAACTTCATGCAGTTGACCTCAGCCCATCGGTCCAGCCTATCCAGATCCTCCTGCAGAGCCTTCCTACCCTCGAGCAGATCGACACACGCACCTAACTTGGTGTCATCTGCAAACTTACTGAGGGTGCACTCAATGCCCTCATCCAGATCATTGATGAAGATATTAAAGAGCACTGGCCCCAGCACCGAGCCCTGGGGGACGCCACTAGTGACCGGCCTCCAACTGGACTTGACTCCATTTACCACAACTCTTTGGGCCCGGCTATCCAGCCAGTTTCTAACCCAACGAAGCGTGCGCCAGTCCAAGCCAAGAGCAGCCAGTTTCTTGAGGAGAATGCTGTGGGAGACGGTGTCAAATGCCTTGCTGAAGTCAAGGTAGACCACATCCACAGCCTTTCCCTCGTCCACCCAGCGCGTCACTTTGTCATAGAAGGAGATCAGGTTCGTCAAGCAGCATCTGCCTTTCATAAACCCATGCTGACTGGGCCTGATTGCCTGCTTGCCCTGCAAGTGCTGCGTGATGACTCTCAAGAGGATCTGTTCCATGAGCTTCCCTGGTACTGAGGTCAAACTGACAGGCCTGTAGTTTCCCGGGTCTGCCCTCTGGCCCTCACATCCCCTTTGACTGACTTTGGGCTCCATCTTTTGTAACAGTCTTTCAGATGGTGTTGGATTGTCGCATGCTGAAGTCCCTTCTGATTCCATCACACCACTATGCTTGTCCGGTTCTATCAAAATTAATTCGTCATTATCTGCATGACTGTTACTGTGATACCACTAATAGGACATTATCCTGGTTTCAGCTAGAATAGAGTTAATTTTCCTCCTAGTAGCTGGTATGGTGCTGTGTTTTAGATTTAGGATGAGAATAATGTTGATAACACACTGATGTTTTAATTGTTGCAGAGCAGTGCTTACACTAAGCCAAGGACTTTTCAACTACTATTGGTGCTACCATTTCAACTATCAAAGTTTTCTCATTTTCATTTAAAGGTCTAGGCTCCAAGAAATTCAGAGCGCGTGCTCAGTGAGGGGTGGTTGCACCTTGGAGGGCAGGTAGCTTTTGGGATGGAGGTGTGTTTTTGTATTAAAATGATATTATAATGAGCAAAAGTTCACTAGAGTACAGCATTTTGTCGAAAACATGACAGGTTGTTGGCTCAGGGTAGCAAAAAGTACAGCTTATTGGTCTCGGTGTGCACAAGAACAATCAAGTTCCCATCCGGCCACAGAGCCTAGCCGCGGTGTCTCCACTCCGCTCTGCACTCCGTACTATTCCTTAGAGTCAGCACACCAGGCTCCCCCAGCGCAATAGCATCTAAGGTTGGAGGCCTAGGGAACGCTTAGGTAGTGCGGCTACACTCCACCCTTAAAGCTTCTTCAGTGCTGTACATTTTCTTTAAAATGTGAATATTAGTTTAGTTTCCGAGTCACCTTAGGCAATTATTCCACACAAGTCCAGACCGAAAGCTCCGCAAAAGGTCCTGGCCGCGACTTCTCATGGCAGTGCCCCTCTCAGACTACACCTACAATAATGCACCAGGCCAGCGAGCCCCACCTCCTCGCCCTTTGTTGTGTGAAAGGTGATTATGCCGTCACTTCCACCGCATGGTGCAGGCTGGGAATACGAGTCGCGATTAGCCAGCGCCTGCCCCGCTTTCCACCGAGCCGAGGAGCACGAAGCGGTAACGAACAGGAACGGCAGGGCGAAAGTTCTTTGTGGTGAGTACTGAGAGGACTGCGCGAAGTGCGTGAGCGCTATTAGAGTGTAACCTGGCCGGGAATTGAAAACGGATCGATTTAATGCGAGCTTTGATGGCGTAATAACGGCTAACGAGGTGGTGGTGTTCCCAGGCGCATGGTTCGGGCCGACACCGGTCGTTTGGGTCTCCGCGTCAGGGACACCCCCCATGAAATACTTGCGCTTACCGGCGGCCGCCCGCAATGTTATTAGAGCGACCGTGCCTTGCGGACGCTCAGTGCAGGGTAGGCCTTCCGCTTTCTCCTGTTCCTGGGACTTGGCGGGCGCTCATTGGCTTTTCTGCCTGGGGCGGGCTCTGCCGCCGCTTTGCCATTGGCAGGGCTTGCGCTGACTGCTATCAGTGTTCGCCAATGGGACTGTGGCTGGGCACGGGGCGCGCGGACTGAAGCTCAGAGGAGGCAGGCGCAACTGCTAGTTGGTTTTGCGGAGCCTCCGCGAGCGGTGTCGATCGTTTGTGGGGGGTACTTCTCGGCGCGTCGGCTGGGCGTGGCGTGGCAGGGAGCTGAAATGTGGTACCGGGAGGGGGTGTATGGGCCTCTGTTCCAGCAAGGGAAAGGTTTATCAGGGAGTCTAGTGATAGGATAAGGGGAAATGGCTTTAAGCTAAAGGAAGATGAATTTCCTCCTTATAACCAATCTAAATCTTTTGCTATGAGGGTGCTGAGACACTAGAACAGGTTGCCCATAGAAGTTGTGGAGGTCAATAAAGAGTGATGTTCCTTAGGTGTCAGTATTGGTACTGGTGCTGTTTAGCATCTTTGATGCTGACACGGATGGTGGGATTGAATGCACCCTCAGTAAATTGGCTGATGACACCAAGTTATGTGGTGCAGTAGATGTGCTGGAAAGAAGGGATGCCATGCAGAAGGACCTGGACAGGCTTGAGAGGGGGGCCTATGCAAACCTCGTGAAGTTCAAAAAGACCGAGTACAAGGTCCTGCACCTGGGTTGGGGTAGTCCCGAGCACAAATACAGGCTGGGCAGAGAATGGATTGAGAACAGCTCTGAGGAGAAGGACTTGGGGGTGTTAATTAATGAGAAGCTCAACATGAATCAAAATGGATGTGGAGAAGGACTTGGGGGTCCTGCTGGGTGGGAAGCTGGACATGAGCCAGCAGTGCGCGCTTGCAGCCTGGAAGGCCGTCTGCGTCCTGGGCTGCATTAAAAAAGGGGTGGCCAGCAGGGAGAGAGAGGTGATTGTCCCCCTCTATTCTGCTCTTGTGAGACCCCACCAGAAATACTGCGTGCAGGCCTCGGGCCCCCAGCAGAAGAAGGATGTGGAGCTCTTGGAATGGGTCCAGAGGAGGGCCACTAGGATGATCAGAGGGCTGGAGCACCTCTATGAAGGAAGGTTGAAGGAACTGGGCTTGTTTAGCTTGGAGAAGAGAAGGCTCTGGGGAGACCTCATTGCGGCCTTTCAGTACTTAAAGGGAGCATATAAACAGGAGGGGGAATGCCTGCTTACATGTGTTATTAGTGATAGGACAAAGGGGAATGGTTTTAAACTAAGACAGGAAGATTTAGGTTAAAAATTAAGAGTCAGTTCTTCACTCAGAGGGTGGTGAGGCACTGGAACAGGTAGCCCAGAGAGTGTGTGAATACCCCCATCCCTGGAGGCATTCAAGGCCAGGCTGGATGTGGCTCTGAGCAGCCTGCTCTAGTGGTTGGCAGCTCTGCCCAGAGCAGGGGGGTTGAAACTAGATAATTTTTAAGGTCCTTTTCAACCCAGGCCATTCTATGATTATGTGAATCAGCAATGTGAGCTTGCAGCCCAGAAAGCAAACTGTATCCTGGGCTGCGTCAAAAGAACCATGACCAGCAGGATGAGGGAGGTAATTCTCCCCCTCTACTCTGCTCTCATGAGACCCTACCTGGAGTACTGTGTTTAACTCTGAGGTGCCCAGCACAAGAGGGATGTGAAAGTATTAGAAAAAGTCCAGAGCAGGGCCATGAAGATGATGAAGGGGCTGGAACATTTCTCCTGTGAAGACGGGCTGAGGGAGTTGGGGTTGTTCAGCCTGGAGAAGGGAAGGCTCCAGGGAGACCTTATAGCAGCATTCCAGTACCTAAAGGAGGCCTACAGGAAAGCTGGGGAGGGACTATTTGTCAGGGAGTGTAGCGATAGGACAAGAGTTAATGATTTTAAACTAAAAGACAGTAGATTTAGATCAGATGTTAAGAGAAAATTCTTTACAGTGAGGGTGAAGTGGTGATTTTGCTCAGGTGGGTAGCTAAGCTCCTTCACAACTGCTCTCAGTCTCCCTCCTCAAAGGGAAAGGGGACAATATATGATGAAAAGGGCTCATAGGTTGAGAGAAGGACAGAAAGATCACTCAACAATTCTCATCGTGGGAAAACCAGATTTAGCATAGGGAGATTAATATAATTTATTACATATTACTAACAAGCTAGAGAAGTGAGAAACAAAGGAAAGAAGCCAAAAATGCCTTCCCCCCCATCCACCCTCTTCCACCTCCTCCCCTCGAGTGGCACAGGGAAATGGGAAAGGGGGGTTGTGGTCAGTCTATAATGATTTTTCTCTGCTGGTCCTTTTTGGTCACTCTCTTCCCATGCTCCAATGTGGGGTCCCTCCCATGGGATGCAGTCCTTCCCGAACTGGTCCTGCGTGGGCTTCTCACAGGCAGCAGCTCTTCAAGAACTGCTCAAAATAGGGGTCTGCACCATGGGGTCCATCTCTCAGGAGCACACTGCTCCAACCCGGGTCCCCCATGGGCAGCAGCTCCTGCCAGGTCACCTGCTCTTGTGTGGTCTCCTCTCTACAGGCTACAGGTCCGGCCCAGAATCTGCTCTGGTGGGGGTCTTCCACAGGCCACAGCCTCATTCAGGGCAGATCTGCCTGCTCCACTGTGGTCTCCTCCACGGGCTGTGGCATGGAACCCTGCTCCACCATGGTACTCCATGGGCTGCAGGGGGACATCCTGCTTCACCATGGTCCTTTCCACAGGCCCCATGGGAATTTTGGCTCTGGTGCATGGAGCACCTCCTCCCCCTCCTTCTTTACTGACCTTGGCACCTGCAAGGCTGTTTCCCTCTCCTCACTCTCCCTGCTGCTGTTGTTTTTTTTCCCTTTCTTAAATATGCTCTCACAGAGATGCAAATAAAATCACTTATTGGCTCTGCTCTGGGCAGTATCAGGTCCCTTCGGAGCCTGATGGAACTGTCCATTCTCTAACACGGGGCAGCTTCTGCATTCTTTTCACAGAAGGTACCCCCTTCAGCCTTCCCCCAGCTACCAAAACCTTGCTATGAAAACCCACTGCAGTTGATGAGGCACTGGACCAGGTTGCCTAGAGAAGTTGTGGATGCCCCATCCCTGGAAGTGATTAAGGCCAAGCTGGATGAGGCTTTGAGCAACCTGGTGGAAGGTGTTCCTACTTATTGCGGGGCCTGGACTTAGATGGTTTTTAAGGTCCCTTACAAACTAACATTTCTATGATTCTATGGATCACATAGTTTCATTGAGGTACATTTATAAGGATAGATCTGCCATTTGTATGCTTATCATGTGAGATGCGTATCGTTTCACAAGTTGGTGAGGTTAAGACAATAGTTGGTCGAGTCTTCCAAGAAAATGCAGGTAAGCAGCTTAAGCAGTCAATTTTCCCTTGCTGATCTATGAGCTTGCATGTAACCAACCATCAGCTTGGATCACTTTTATCTGCCTTCTTTGGCTTCTTGTTTTCTTAGTGTTTTCTGTTTTTTTTTTTCTTTCTTTTTTTTTCTTTGGGTACTGTGCCTTTCACTTCTTGCTCAAGAATATTCATGCTCTCAATGAACATATGCTGTTATGTTGGGCTTTTTTTTTTTTTTTTTTTTTTCAATATCACTGAGTTTCATGTTAATTTGGGACACTGATTTACATATTTTAAGTTGTATGTTTTTCATGTGTGTTTTTTTTTTTTTAATGTATTTGGAGGTCAAATTGGTTTGGTTTAATTTTTAGGGAATTATATTTTTAACTGCAAGTCATCTATCCTCGTACCACTTCTCAAAAATGGGTAGGAAGAATTAAACAGTGAAGTAAATAGCTGATAAAATCTAATGTGAAATACCAGATAACAGAAGAGATGACTAGCAGTTCCTGCCTTTGTTCAAAGATTCATTACAGATGAGGTGAAGTGAAGGTAGCAGCAGTGTCCTTCCTCTTCCACCTCACCTTCCCCCTGACCCCAACAGACTGGTCTCTTCTGTCCCCTTTAAGAGCCTGATATGTATTTCAGCATCCACTTGGCAAAGCACCGTTAGTAGCAGGTAGAACTAGACTTTCATAAGCAGTTGTTTTTTTCCTTTCCCTTTTCATGGGACAGTTTTTCTGAGATGCAAGGAAGAGTGTTTTTTGTCAAATTTGTGTTTTAATCACAATTTTCCTTACTTGATATATTAGTCATAAGAAAATTTTTGCCTTCATCATAACCAGGTCATTCTTTTCCTCTCTGTTTCTGTCAAACACCATATACCAGTATGTGCATTTGTTGGAAGTAAGGTAGAATTCATGTAGTACACATGGTGGCATCAGCTCAGATGTAGTTAATACATGTCAAGACAGGTTTATACTCAGGACTTTCCAATTCCAATCACACACAAAAATCTGTACCAGGAGTCAGGGAGCAAGAGGTGGTTCTGCATAAGCAGCAGACTAACATCTACATCTCCTCCATGGGCACAGTTTTACTTAACCTCTTCAGGTCTGAGAACTTCTGCAACTCCCACCCCTAGCTATTTTTATTATATTAGTAAGGGAGGAAGGGCCATCAAATTACAAATCAAATTACTAAAGTGTAGTAACACTTTAAATCCCTGGCAGCTTCTATGTATTCAGAAGCTGAACAGTACTGCCTTATTACATCCTGTGAGAAATATCTCAATAATTTTCTCAGACAGGGTCTTCTGTGAAGCGAATTTATTCCCAATTGCAATAGTGGGCGTCCTGCAAACAGGAGTGCACAGTAAAAGTATATCATAACCTTATATTCCCTATTACCTGATGCTTAATTCCTCCCCCATTTCTTCATTGGCTGAGTACTACAGGTTCACAAACTACTCAATGCTTTTCTATACCATATATGTACAATTTTATTTGACCAACCTTTAATTTCTCCTTTTCCCCTTTTTTCCCCCCTTCTTCTCTCGTGATTAGAGAGCCCATGATTTTTGTTTTTACTGTTTTTGCAGTGCTCGTCCTGTTTTTCTTAGCTATCCTCCTTATTTTGGAACAATGAGACCTTCTGCTATCCCCTTATCTGCTTAACATTGCCCTTTGTTATGATTGCACAATTACTTTTAAATATACATGGTTAGTTTTCTACTGCAAAAACACAACTTTGATTCTCACAGTCCTTAATTAAACATCTTGTGTTCGCTAGATACAAAATGTGAGTTAAATAAGGAAATGTTAAGAACTGTTCTTCCACTAAGTGGATTGGTAGAATTGTAGGAAGTGACTGCATAAAGATTTTGATGTTATGCTGATGAGATGCTGTTAAATAGTTAGATGTGCAGATGTTACATCCCTACTTTATTTACTTTGAGGCAGGTGGGTCCTTGCTAAATCTGTAGAATAAAGAAATACACAGTTTGACTGTTCTTTGATGTGTACATATAGAAGGCCATACTCATACTTCATTAACCCTGATGTTTCCTACCTGTTAGCTGAAATAAGATAAACCAGTTACCATGACATTTTGGTGCTTCTATTGTTTTTTATAGTCCCTGAGAAGTGCCATTTAATTTGTGTTTGTATGCTAACTTGACTGTGCATAGTGTTTACTGAACGACTCAGTATTCTTTCTTTGCTAATGCATCTTTCCCAGACTACTACTTTGGCCATGGAAGCTGAAGAAATGATGGAATGTATCCAGGAATTCCCAGAACACTATAAAGTTATTTTGGATAGACTGAATGAACAACGTGAGCAGGACCAGTTCACAGACATCACTCTGATTGTGGATGGTATGTATAGGCCTGTGGACCAGTTGGTATACAGAGAATTCTGAAAGCTGTGCTGGGAAGATGGTGGGTTTGTCATGGGTCAGCTGTCAAACTGGGCTGCTAACAAGTTCTTTATTCTGTACTGGTCTATGAGTTGCTTGCAGATTTTCTTTTAAAGTCTTGGGATAAACAGTCTCCAGTAGTGATTAATAATTGTGCTTCTGCTTTTCTGAACAAGTGGCTAAATATTTTCAGATAGTATACCACTTTGTAACTGCTATACTTATTTAATGTTATCTAAGTATTTCCAAAATGCTGCAAAAAATGTTTTTCTCTAACTTAACCTGTTTGCATGCAGAGAACTTGTATACATATTATTTAAAAAGCAAAAGCTTGCTTCTGTAGTATCTGCTTACTATTCTTAATACATAGTTAAAACAAGGTAGAAGAACTCACTTTTCTTTTTCTGTGTTCTAGAGATATAAGTATTAGTTTAAAAGGAAGACAGAGATAAGTGCTTATTATCCCATTAGAAAAGGGGGTGTATCCCATTAGAAAAGGGGGGGTGTCTGATTGCTTAAGATTGCTTCTTATCCCAAATGTGTCTTAGAATGAATGAGCACTTCAAGGAAGACAGGCAGTGTCCAGTAGGACAGACTTAGCTAAAGGAATACCACCTGACCCTTGAAAGGATAGCAATAACTCATTTGAAGTAAAAGAGTTGTATAGAGTCTGGATTAGAAAAAAGGAAACAAATGAAGAAAAGACTGTTCTGGAATTGCCATAGTTTCTCTGACAGTGCTCGCACAAAACTTAGCGTGAATGTTTCTATCCTGTGGAGACTTATGAATGTTCATGCCTGTGCCAAGGAGAAGGCAACAGAGTTATGGGGAATACAAAGCCTGGAAAACAGGAAGAGCAGAGCAGAACTGCTTTTGTTCTGCTGGGATGTTTATGCTAGCTGAAGTGGTGATAAAATAGATCAGTCTGTAAGAGTGGCAAAAAGCACAGCTAACTTGGATAAAACCTGGCAGTTGAGTTCAAGACATACAGGAAAAAAGTTCATGCAAAGATTTGCCATGATTTAAATATCTGAAAAGAGGAACACTCTGAAGTGAATGAGTTCTTTAGCTGATTGAGTTGCAGAGGAAATCTACATACAGTACCATTCCCAGGAAAGACCTTAATTCATGAACATTCAGAGATTCTGGGAGTTGGCAAATAGCTTCCTTCCTTTCAGTACTTAACTGTCTGCCCCTTTAGAATTTCAAAACCTTAATATGTTACCGCTTCTTGTGCAATTTGAGCCTTCTACTTTGATAGTTGATACTCATTGGGTCTAAGGAAATTTTAGTAGTCTAATTGTCAGTTCCAGACATTCTTCCTGGGAGTTCAGCAAGGTAAGTGATGTCAGCAAGGGTCTGTATGAGAATGAGATAAGCTAGCTGCAGTAGCATCCCATGTTACAGGGAGACATTAAGTGAATGTATGGTGCTAGAGTAGATTTGTAGACTGGGTTTTACAGCTGTTTTGTGTATTGTCACTTATTCTGCAGTATAAGTAAGAAAAGTGTTCTCCTAAACAAAATTTTTTTCTGTCTGCAGGTCACCATTTCAAAGCTCATAAGGCTGTTCTTGCTGCTTGTAGCCAGTTCTTCTACAAATTCTTCCAAGATTTCACTCAGGAGCCCTTAGTGGAGATTGAAGGTAGTATGATTGATGCAGTTAAAAAATCAAAAAAAAAAAAGAGAGAGAGAGTTGTATATCAAAGCTTGAAATGAATGTGATATCCTTGGTACAGGCTGATATGCATGCTTGGTCATACCAGATAATTTTTTATGTCTCAGCTCTTGAATTGTTCTGAGGCAGCTGTTGCTACTGGAAAAAGCTTCCCTTGAAATAAAAACAAAAAGAAAAATGTCAGTTTTGAATTAAGCCTTTTAGAAGGGAGAGTGTGAGGTTCTGAGGTGCTAACTTGCTTTCCTTGCTTATAAACAGGTGTAAGTAATATGGCATTTCGTCACCTAATAGAGTTCACCTATACAGCAAAACTAATGGTCCAAGGTGAGGAGGAAGCAAATGATGTTTGGAAAGCAGCTGAGTATTTACAGATGTTAGAAGCAATCAAAGCACTTGAAATCAGGTAAACACATAAGCCTCTTTTTCTTCCCAGCACTTAAATATAGCCTTAAGAATCCTTTTAACAGAGCTGGCTGCAAGTATTTTGCAGTGTTGTTCCTTATCCTGGAACCTCCTGAACTTGTGGGGGGCTGTATAATTCTGATCCATATCTTATAGTAGAAGAGTATAAAGGCTAAAAAGAAATAAAAAGGAATGTCGCATTCTTTGAGCTGGAACTTGGTGGCAAGTGACATGGCTGGTAAACACCAAAAATTCATAGCCCTATAATGTCTGTGGTAACTAATACCAGGTCTGTGCTATCTGACTGCCCATACCTGATTGAGAGCTGGATGTACAGGTGACAGTGTGCCTTAGGTAATTAGACCACATTAACAAGTATGGGCTAGTATTTGATTTCATGCAGCTTTATGCTGCTTCTGAGAGAATAGGCAGTGATTTTGAAGCTTCCTGGTAGAAAATACAAAATATCAAACTTCTTGAGTAAATCATATCATAGAAGGGACCTTAAAGGTCATCTGGTTCCAACCCCCCTGCCATAGGCAGGGATGCCACCCGCTAGATCAGGTTTGCCAGGGCCCCATCCAGCCTGGCCTTGAACACCACCAGGGATGGGGGATCCACAGCCTCTCTGGGCAACCTGTTCCAGTGCCTCACCACCTTCTGAGTAAAGAACTTCTTCCTAACATCCGATCTAAATCTCCCCTCTTTTAGTTTAAAATCATTCCCCCTTGTTCTATCATTATCTACACAAGTAAAGAGTCCCTCTCCATCTGTTTTAAAAGTCCCCTTTAAGTACTGAAAGGCCACAATGAGGTCTCCCCAGAGCCTTATCTTCTCCAGGCTGAACATCCCCAGCTCTCTCAGCTCTCTCTTCATAGGAGAGGTGTTCCAGCCCTCTCATCATCTTTGTGGCTCTCCTCTGGACCTGTTCTAACAGGTCCACATCCTTCTTGTGCTGGGGGCCCCAGACTTGGACACAGTACTCCAAGTGGGGCCTCAAAAGGGTGGAGTAGAGGGGGACAATCACCCCCCTTGACCTACTGGCCATGCCTCTCTTGATGCAGCCCAGGATGCGGTTGGCCTTCTGGGCTGCAAGCGCACACTGCTGGCTCGTGTCGAGTTTCTCATCCACCAGAACCCCCAAATCCCTCCGCAGGGCTGCTCTCAAGGAGTTCTTCCAGTCTGTACTCATGCCTGAGATTGCTCCAATCTAGGTGCAGCACTTTGCATTTGGACTTGTTGAACCTCATTTTGGTTCATGTGGGCCAACTTCTCAAGCTTGTCCAGGTCCCTTTGTACAGCATCCCTTCCTTCTGTTATATCAACTGCACCACTCATCCTGGTGTCATCTGCAAACTTGCTGAGGGTGCACTCAGTCTCATCATCTGCATCACTGTTGAAGATATTGAAAAGCACCAGTCCCAAGACAGACTCCTGAGGGACACCGCTCATCACCAGCTTCCACCTGGACATAGAACCATTGACCACTGCTCTCTGGGTGCGTCCATCAAGCCACTTCCTTATCCACCAAATGGTCCACCCTTCAAATCCATCTCTCTCCACTGTAGAAATCAGGATGCCATGTGGGACAGTGTCAAAAGCCTTACATAAGTCCCGGTAGATGACATCAGTCGGTCTTGCCTTGTCAACTGAAATATAATTGTTATAACAAGTTTTATACTGAATTAGTACATAATCAGATGTTGCTATGGCACCTTTTATCCAGTACCTGTAACTGTGCGCCATCACAGAACTCCAACCTGAGAAAAGTAGGTGCTATTCCCATCATGCTTTTTTTTTTTTTTCTTGCCCTTCTTTCCCTTTTACTTTCACAGAGTGCTGTTATGTTATCATTCCTTCTGTGTTCTCCTCTGTTCTTTCATCATGAAGCAGAGGGATGGGCAATAAATGTCTCCTGGTCTTATGGTTATCCTTGCTTTCTCTTCTAGACCTACTGGCCTTTGCATCAAGGCTAAGATTCCTCTTTATCTTCCCATAAATGTGTTAGCCAAGGGGAGTGGCATTGGCCCAGAGTTCTCCTAGTAGTCCATTAGCATTTTGTTTTAAAAAATAAGAGGAAAAAAAAAAAACAAACCTCCATGACATGATATGGGAAACTTGGTTTTCAACATCAGTGTTGATTTTTTTGGTTTTTGAATTAACTTATTCTGTGCTTATTCTGGGGATTGGCAATTGAGCTGAAAATGGGTATTTTTTCCTTAATAGGAGAGGTGGAATTGTGCATTTCTGGTCTTACCCTCCAACAACACCAACACATCTCTTTTTGACATTAAGATTAAGCGTGGTAGAATCAAAATAACTCTCTTTTTTTCCCCCAGATTTGATTTAAAAAAAAAAAAAAAAAAAAGCAGACCTTTGGAGTCTGCTTGAGAAATTGAAAAGAAACTTAAAACTGAAAAAGTGTGTTCTAATTGGTATTGCTTTGAGTTGGTATGTACCAACTGTAGAGCTGTTGAAACAAGGTTCGGATCAATCCATCAAGCTAAACTGTCCAGTCTGCAATTAATTATTCCACATTACTACGTAATGTTATGTAGTTTATTGGTTATCTACGTCTAGTAAACATTGTATTTCCTTGTAACGTAAGAATTAAATGTTTTGCTTAACAGATGCATGCAAGCCAGTATATGCTTAATTATTTCCATTGTTCATAGACTGCAAAGGTTGTGGGGGGGGGGATTATTTTGTTTGTTTGTTGTTGTTTTGGTAGAAAAACAAACTTGAGTATCACTGTCAGTCTCTTCCACAGTAGAAAGGGGGGGGATTGCAATACAGTGTCTTGGTCTAAACTCTGACTGAAAAGGATAAGCTTCAGAACCCAGCTGAAGTAGAAATGATAATTGAACTAACCATTTTGGTTTAACCCAGCAGGTATCTGAGTATCACACAGCTATTTGCTCGCTCCCCAGCAGTGGGATGGGGGGGAGAAGCAAGGGAAAATAATGTTGATAAATTATGATAAAGGAATATACAAAGCAAGTGATGCTCAATGCAATTGTTTGCCATCTGCTGACTGATGCCTAGCCAGACCCCAAGCAGGGGTCTTAGCTGTGCCCCTCCCAGCTTCTTGTGTACCCCAAGTCTCCTCCTTGGCAGGGTAATAGGAGAAGCTGAGAAGTTCTTGGCTTAGTTGTTGCAGAGCAGTGCTTAAGCTAAACATCTGTGTGTTATCAGCATTATTCTCATCCTAAATCTAAAACACAGCACCACACCAGTGTCGTGGTTCCACTCGAGTGGGCAGCCGAGCTCCACCACAGCCGCTCTCTCACTCCCCCTCCTCAAAGAGGAATGGGGAGAAAATATGATGAATAGGGCTCAAGGGTTGAGATAAGGACAAGAAAATCACGTAATAATTATTGTAACGGGCAAAACAGACTCAGCATAAGGAGATAGTAAGATTTATTGCTTATTACTAACGAGCTAGAGAAGTGAGAAACAAAGGAAAGAAACCAAAAGCACCTTCTCCCCCCATCCACCCTCTTCCACCTCCTCCCCCTCGAGCGGTGCAGGGGAATGGGGGTTATGGTCAGTCTACAGCACTTCTTCTCTGCTGCTCCTTCTCGGTCACTCTCGTCCCCTGTGCTGTGGGGTCCCACCCATGGGATACAGTCCTTGATGAACTGATCCAGCGTGGGCTTCCCACAGGCAGCAGCTCTTCCAGAGCTGCTCCAGATATGGGTCCGTACCACGGGGTCCATCCCTCAGGAGAAAACTGCTCCAACCTGGCTCCCCTACGGGCAGCAGCTCCTGCCAGGTCACCTGCTCCTGCGTGGTCTCCTCTCCACGGGCTACAGGTCTGGCACGGAATCTGTTCTGGAAGGGGTCTTCCACAGGCGGCAGCCTCCGTCGGTGCAGGGCCACCTGCTCCACTGTGGTCTCCTCCACGGGCTGCAGCATGGAACCCTGCTCCCCCGTGGTACTCCATGGGCTGCAGGGGGACATCCTGCTTCACCATGGTCCTCACCACAGGCTGCAGGGGACTTTGACTCCGGCGCCTGGAGCACCTCTCCCCCTCCTTCTACACTGACCTTGGCACCTGCAAGGCTGTTTCTCACTCTCCCAGCTGCTGTGTGACGCAGCTTTTTTTTCCCTGTCTTAAATATGCTCTCACAGAGGTGAAAAACAACATCGCTTATTGGCTCAGCTCTGGAAAACAATGGGGCCGTTCATAAACATGGGGCAGTTTCTAGATCCTTCTCACAGAAACCACCCCTATGGCTCCCTGCTACCAAAACCTTGCCACGTAAACCCACTACAACCAGTTACTAGGAAGAAAATGAAATCCCGGCCAAAACCAGGGCACTAATCTCTTGTATAATGTATCCAAGAGTTGGACATTACTACCTAGACTAGAAAGAAAACAACCAGCTGTTATTCCTTAAAATGCAGTTGTATGGTGTGTATCCTTATACAAAGCTTCACACGTGAACCACACAGTGTGCTCAAGAATATTAGTCTCCTCTTTCCTGAGCAGTTGATTCTTTTGGTATATAATTCTGGAGCTACTTGTGGTAATGTGCAAAGTAACTTGACACTTTCTAGACAGAAATACAGGGTATACGAAACAGCAAGTTTAACTGTTTTATCTTCCTATGGATATTGTAAGGTGTAATTTGATAAGCTGTATCCTGCATTAGGTCATTAGCCACATATTTCTGGCATTTGACATATAAATACTTGAAGCCATATTTGCCTATTACTAGATGACCCAGAAGTGATAGGGACTAGATTACGTGAAATGATTCATCAGGCTGCAGAGGAAAGTAAAAGCATACTCTCCTCAGTCTGATTTGAGGGGAAGATCATCTGCCCATTTTTGAAACTGAATACTGAAATGTAAGTGCTGTGGATAGTCTTGAGGGTCTCACTTGAAAGCACTGGCTCGCTCAGCTCTGCCTATCCCTGACATCTTGGAGGAAGAGGGTTGTGTGTGCCTGGTGCAGAGGCAAAAGGAACAGAGCTGGAGGAAACATAGGAAAGATTTTTGGTAGAAAAGCAAACTTGAGTATTGCTGTCAGGCTCTTCTCCAAAGTATAAGGGGGAGGAATTGTAATACAGTGCCTCAGTCTAAGTCTTAATCTTATTTTTGAGTTGGAACTCCACCCTTTGGGTAAATCTTTTTCCCAAGTACAGAATTTCACAAGTTTCTTAGATAAACCTATACCATTAGCCCAAACTGGTCTTATTGATGTGTTTTGTGTCATTCAAGCAAGAGTGTTGTGGTTTAATGCTGGCAGGCAGATAAGTACCATACAGCTGCTTTTTTGCTCTCCCCAGGTAGGATGGGGGAGAGAACTGGGAAGGTAAAAGTGGAAGAACTTATAGGTTGAGATAAGACAGCTTACTAAGTAAAGCAAAAGCCACACACACAAGCAAAACAAGGAATTCATTTGTTACTTCCCATTGGCAGGCAGGTGTTCAGACGCTTCCAGGAAAACAGAGCTCATCGGCTTCTTGGGAAGACAAATGCCATCACTTCAACTACAACCCCCTCCCCCCCTTCCTCCTTTGTTTCAGCTCTTATTACTGAGCATGATGTCATATGGTATAGAATATCTATTTTGTCAATCTGGGTCAGCTGTCCTTGCTGTGTCCCCTCTGCCATTCTGGTGCACCCCAGTCTTCTTGCTAGCAGGGCAGCATAAGAAGCAGAAAAGTCCTTGGCTCTGTGTAAGCACTGCTCTTCAACAACTAAAAATATTGGTGTGTTATCACCACTATTTTTATCGGAAATCCAAAACACAGCATTGTGTGAGCCTCTATGGAGAAAATTAACTCCATCCCAGCCAAAATCATGACACAGCACTTTAAAACACTTCAGTAACCTTATGTAAAAGGCTATACAGCTTTAACCTTGCTATTTTACAGCTCTAAGGAGTATCAGTTAAGGACAGATTAGCTTCTGAAATGCACACAGGATATGTGGTCATTCATTATTCAATTTCTTTGAGAAATACCTAGAAAATGTTTAATGCAGAAACTCACTATCAGGCAGGAATTATTACGTAAGTGCTTGTGGATTTTAACCATGTTTATGCAAATGCTTTACAGGAACAAAGAAAATTCATCACCCTTAGAATCAAATCAAATACAAGGTAAAGATAAAGTGAAAAAGAGGAAGATAGCTGAGACCTCTAATGTTATAACAGAAACACTGCCATCTGCAGAATCGGAGCCTATTGAAATTGAGGTTGAGATTGCTGAAGGGACAATTGAAATGGAAGATGATAGCGTCAAGACACTTGAAGAAGTAGCTTTTGCAGAGCAATCCATAAAGTGCATACAGACAACGGGTACATCAGATGAATCTGCTTTGGCTCTTTTGGCAGATATTACCAGCAAGTATCGTCAGGGAGAACGAAAATGCCAGATCCAAGAAGAAGGTGACAGTGCAACTGATCCCTTATGCAAACAGGTAGAAGGTATTGAAATTGTGGAACTTCAGCTATCACACATGAACAATTTATTCCACTGTGAGAAATGTAACTGTTCATTTAAATTGTTTTACCATTTTAAAGAACACATGAAAACACATTCTACTGAGAGTTACAAGTGTGACATATGCAATAAAAGGTACCTACGAGAGAGTGCTTTGAAACAGCACCTCACCTGTTACCACGTTGATGAAGGTGGTGCCAGCAAGAAGCAAAGACCTGGCAAAAAAATACATATATGCCAGTACTGTGAAAAACAGTTTGACCACTTTGGACATTTTAAAGAGCACCTCCGGAAGCACACAGGTAAGAGTACTACTATAGGCATGTACATGTGGCTTTGAATCTAGCACTTTGAATTTCTGCATGTTTTGGGGAAGTAGAGAATATGCTGAAGAGAACACGCAAGTCCCAAATGCTAGAAATACTTGGCTTCTAGTTACAACTAAAATCATAGAATCTTGGTGTTGATTCTATGCTGATTTTTTTTCCCATTGATATAAACTGTGAGGAATCGATTTTTTTTTTTTTTTAAAGTGGTTAAAAATAGGCACCTAAAACCAGAAAATCCTAATGAAGCTTCTCTCAAGTGTGTTAAACTTTTTTTTTTTTTTTTTTTAATACTTTGTAAGGCATGTTTACTTCTTAAAAAGTGCCAAACTGAGTAGCTACTTTTATTTTCGCAGCTGTGATTTTGTCAGGGTGAAATACCACCCCTATCCTTGCTCTTAACATCTCATCTCATGATTTGATTTTGTTTGTTAACTAACACAACAAAGTATTTCTATTGACTATAGTAGACTTTTGTTATCCAGTTTTCATAAAGGCAGATTTTACAATAGCATCTTCTGAGTACAAAATTACTTGTGCTCCTTTCTTATAATGTGGGAGGTTAACATGCTACTTCATCTCATTGAAATGTCTTTACTGTCTGTACAGATACTTAGTGTTATATAGATAACTCTTTGAATGTAAAATATATGGTCCTGATCCTTCCATATGTTTTTATTTAATATGTCAGTCATGAGTCATCAGTAAGAATTTAATGGAGGGTAGCATCCCTCTTCTTTCTCAGCTTGTTGTTGAAGTCTTTTATTTGAACTTCTTTGCATCTGTGTATGGGACTCCTGATTATTGATACATGACGCTGTATCCAGTCTAATCCCAGTAGCCCCTTAAAAGTTGCATTTGTAAAAAGTCTTTGGCAAATCCTTATTCCCTATAAAGTAGGAAGTGTTTCTTCAATATAGCTAAGTCAACTACGAGCTACGTAATGAAAGCGTTTTCAGAGAAAAGTTTATGGCAGATTAACAGAGTAAACCAAATATCACCATATGGTGGTGGTGGTTTGTTGTGACAAAGAACTTTGGGGACCAAGCAACTTAGCATATCACAAACAATGTATAGTACTTTATCAATATTTATTGATACAAATATAACACATGGAATGTAATTACTTTTAGTTTAGCATTTTGAAAGCCTTAAGCTTAAAATCAGACCTGATACTACCATTTCACTGTGGTCTAAGATCAGTGGAAAAAATCCTGTTGAGCCCAAAGACTTTCTGAACTCTGATTTCTGTATAGCATTGGTTGAATACTAAAATGAAAAATGAAGAGTCCATGAAGAAAACTTCCTACAAACTATCTCATCCTGCTGTTGTTTAATCACAGCACCAGCAATGACATTCAAGTAACAAGTGCAGAAGAAATAGACACCTTATTAATTTTGGTAATTCTTCTTGATGTAGGAGTTTGATATCAGCAAAAGCTGTTCTCTTGTTTCAAGAAAATAAATTAGGAAGGGTAACCTTGGAGCTTCTTTCTCACACACTTCTACAGTGCCTTAAGAATCCTCTGAATCTCTTAAGAAACCATAAAAAAAAAAAACAACTCAAAATTGTCTTGCATGTCATGTGCCCATGAACATACTAACAAAGTCATCTCCAGAATTTATAAACAGGAAGATTTTTTTGCATGTTGTAATGATTCTTTATTTACTGCATGAGAATCAATGTGAATTTGCTTGCCAATTGTAGGTAACTCACAGGACAGAAATTCTGCCAGGTTTAATGTATATCCTTTGAAGTCAATAGCTCTAATTTGTCTTGCACAAGAAGAGCAATTTCCTCATACAGAAGTTAATCTTAGAAGGAAGCTATTGCTCTCGATATGCTTGTCTAATCCTGGTATTTTGGAAAGCCTATATCCCCTAGCAGAAAGAGACACTGGACAGCTTTGATTTCCTCTGATTTTACTGGGAATTTTGACTTCTAAATATTTCTCAAATTTATTTATTTATTTTAACTTTTATGGAGCATGAGTTTGCTCACATGAGTGAAGATGGAAGTGAGGGAGTTTTGATGTGCTCCAAGCAGCTAAACGTCTGAAAACTCTGTAAGTGAAGTGATTTGTATACAGATTATACAAACTTGTTAGGAAAAAAATAAGGGCTTTGCTATTGTGTGGTAAATCTAAAATATGTTTTTACAGGAAGTGTACTTTAACATCTTCCATAGTTGTGAATAAGTGGACTCTGAATACCTTGAATAAATAATTGCAAAGAGTTTGTTTGATAAATGCCTACCTTTGGGGTACTTGTGGGGGGAAAAAATAAAAAGCTGGGTTTATTCTTTCTTTCTAAACACAAATAATGACGTGGTAGCTTTATAGTTAGGGATGTATTCCTTGGTATTTCTTACACATTAGGCAAATAAAAATCAGTGTTGTTAGACATTTCTTTGGGTTAACAATATTTATTTTGGACCATCTCCTTCCTGTGGCTATAGGATTACAAAGGGACCAGCACAATATCAGACTGTCTTCTCTCAGAATTTCTGTCCTGTGAGTTACTCACAATTGGTGAGGGAAATCTCATTCTTCTTCATACAGTGAAAAAAAGATCAACACTAGATCCAGTCAAAAACCTCCCTCTTTAGAATATCTCAATTAGATGAGGTTAAACTTGCAGCTGAATCATACTCAGGAGAAGAGAAACAGGCTGTCATCTTTAGTAGAGGCGTTCAGCCCCCTGCTCACATTGCCAGTGCCTCTCTCAAGGTAACGGCGGCCTGGCATGCCGTGCATGCATTCTGTCACCCTTGTGAGATGTACAACTTGGGTCACAGTGCTGATTTGTGCTGTGCAAGAAGTCACGTGAGTTCTTTTGGCCCTTGGATATTGCTAGCATTATCATTAAATTGTCACTTTCAGTTACTTTTGTCAGAATCTGTTGAAGATTACTGAAGAATTTCAGTAAGAATAGAATAAATCTGTCCCTTACTGTGTGGTGGCTTACTCCAAGTAACTATTTAAATATGGCCTAAATCACAGGGCAGGTGAAGTTCTGCGGTGTGAGTTTTGTGCTGTTTTATCTTCTTGGCTTGCCATTGTATGTGGTTGCTCATGCAAAGTCTGTAATTTTTGACATTAGAGACTGGTGGCAGTTCAGTATCCTCTGTATTACCTTACAACAGTCTCTATAAACATAGCCTTCTGTAATCATTAAGGGGAATATTCATACCATTTAACTTTTTTTGATAGCCTTTAGGTGTGTAAGCCAGAATTATAGGCTACTTGTGGATTTCTGTTGAAAAGCTAGTTGGGTGTTTCTGAAAATATAGGTTTATTGGCTTTCCATCCCAGTTCGTAACTACCATCTTCCTAAAAATGTAGGCTTTTAAATTTTATCTAGCTAGAATATATTCTTATATTATTCACTGAAATAATCCTTATTTGGAATTCATCCTCTTTTGGAATTCATTAAGCAGTTTGTTTCAGTAGTTACATTGATGCCAGTACCTTCACAGATTAATTATCAGATTTTCAGAAGAAACATACTGTTCCTAATTTTTTGTACTTTAATTTCTTTGAATTTCATTGTGTATGTATGTGATTAAATTAGTAAACAGACACCAGTTGTACTTGGCTACTACTTCATGACAGTAATAACAATATACTACCTCGGATGAAAAAAAGAAAACAGGACCTATTTTCAGCCTTCCCTGCTGTTGTCCTTAGCTGGCTTCCCAGTGGAAAATGTTCTTCTTTTTGGTACTACGTTTGAAAGAAAGTGACTAAATAGAAAGATTTTTTTATCTTGCTTGTGCCCATCTATGTCCTTCTGTGCTTTTTCTTTGCATGTTTTTAAAATGCTGATGAATTGTTACTTCATGGTCAGCAGGTCATTCTGTGCCAGCTTCTTTGTCTGGAGCTCAATTTCAGCTCTTGAGCATGAGCTGTTTTTGTTCTTAAAAATAAAACTGTATTTTTTTTTAATACTTTCTGTAATGTGTAACTTTGTATAATTTCTAATGTTGAGTCTTTAAGTATAAATATTATCAGGTGAAAAGACTATATAGCTGCTATTTCATTAAGATATTTTGACAGGATAGCAATCTAACTTCCATAAAAAAAATGAATGTACTTTAAACAGCACTAGCAATTATATTAGATTGTCATTGTCTGATTGAGAATTATGACTCCCCATTAGTTTTTTTACCTTTTAGTTACATAAATAAAGATTGCATGCAATGTCTTTTTCTTCTGTAGAATATTTGTTGGCCAAGTTTTTACAGCATATCTATCAATCTATGCAAAATGGAGAGAGGACAAAGGAAGAGCTGACAGAAAACCATTTTTTTTATACACTTAAACCCCTGTGTTTGTCTTGATAGGTGAAAAACCATTTGAATGTCCAAACTGCCACGAACGTTTTGCTAGGAATAGCACACTCAAATGTCACTTGACAGCCTGTCAGTCTGGAGCTGGAGCTAAAAAGGGAAGAAAGAAGCTATATGAATGTCAGGTGGGTAATGGAAGTTGCAGTCTGAGGTTAGATACCTCCTTCCTGTGTTGAGGGAATGAATACTACACAGGAAAGACAATAAGAGTGGGCTCATATCTCCAAGAACTACTATTAGTAAAATAAATATAAGGATCACATTCAACCACAACATGCAGATAAATTATTTTGTCCAAGTAGTTCCATTTAAAACATGGAATTACTGATATGGATCTTCATAATACTTTCTGCTTCCTTTTCATGATGCACTGACCTAGGCCTTTCCCGCTTGTGAGCATGCTTCACTAAAGTCCAAATTACGAAGTACTATTTTATTTTCCTATTTTGTTATTCTTCTGTTTGATACCCAATATATTGACTTGATCTATAAAGTCTTTCTATCTTATGATGACAATCCATATCTTTTAAGCAAATATAAATGCTGTAGATAGACATAAGAAGTACTTGGTCACTATATGTAACTGAGGTTCAAAAAGCTGTTCAGAAGAAAGTTACTTAACTTTTAAGAATCAGCTTTTAAAAGCTAGATAATATGAGAACTAAGGTTGGCTGTAGCATTTTTTTTTTATTTGCCATTTTGCTGCTTCAGTTCTGCAACAGTCTCAAATACACTTCTCTCTCCACCCCCCACCCAACAAGGCTCTCATCCTATTCAGTTGACAGATAAGCTGTGGTTTGAAGTTAATTTGGCTTGTGTAGTGAAGAAAACTGCTGGACATTGGTTTTATTTGTTTCAAAAGAGAACATTTTTTATTCACAGAAAGCGAATACTGCAGATGAATGATTAGCAACACGCAATTAATTCACACTTTAATTAGAAGTTTCACTGATTCTGTTGCATCATTTAGTTTTTATGCTAGTCTAAAGTTAATTTCTGTGATCATACCTATGTTTTAAAGATGTTTGTTTTGAGCATGAGAACTGCTGTTAACACAAAGTTATATCTAGTAGCATCAGACTGAATATACTGTTTTGTCTTTGCAACCCTTTGGTTTAATTGCATTGTGTCATAGCTCTTTCTTTCTAAATTGATACCATGTTCTCTTACAGATGTTGTAAATGTAGATTAGTGTTACTTCAGCCCGCAGCAGCAGCAGTAATTCCTGGATATTTTTTTCTTGATTTTTTTTTTTTTTTTATCTTTAGAACTAAATTTGAATAGTATTCAATAAATAAAATCTTGGCTCACTGCAGAACGAGGAGAAAACAAAATTGTACTTGCTTGATGAGCACTTCTGTTGCTTTTCAGTGTATGTCTTGAGGACTGAACTAGGCTACATGTGACAAGAGCGGTAATTATGTGCTTGGACATTATTAATAGTTATTACCTTTATATATGACTAAGTAATTTTGTGTGTTTATTTATAAGGTTAATATTTTAAACGCTTGTACAACATCTTTCTAAAGCATGAGTCTGGGCAGAAGGAAGCCTGGCACTAGCATCATAAACCTGTTTTTAACAGACTTCAACAGTAAAATGGGGATATTCAGATCCATTACATGACCTGTTCCTTGAGTTAATTCCTGTCAGTTACTCCATCATCCTTATGTGTTGTTGTCAAAAATTAAGAGGAGATGGAACACTGTTTCAAAAATGCTTGCTGACAGTGAAGGAGTGTTGAAACATGTTCTTTGCTTCTTTCTGCAACTGAGAACAGTTCTGTTGAAAAAGACTCCTGAGTCTGTTTCTTTACTCCAAGTACGACTTTATCCCACTCTTCTCTCTCTGGCACCTTGTTTCTGCAGTGTTTCTGTGTATTATTTTCAGGCTACTCACCTCAGTCAGTGCCAGCTGAAGGGAAGAAATGAAAGTGTGCTCAAGTGCTTTGTGAAAATAGTGCCTCTGCAGCCTAGGCAGTACTTCTAGGTGGAGAAGACTTAAAGGGATGGAGTTTTTAAGAGATTTTTATCTACTGAGATTTTTTTTAATAGCCGAATAGGAGAGTTTACTCTAGCTGGTTAAACCTCACATTGCTGTGAACAAAATAAAGATGATGAGGGAAAGGGGGCTAGTGGTACTACATCTAGAACTTCAGTAACAGGACAATTTGTATCATACTTTCATCATGCAATATTATTACACAAATACAGTTTTCTGCTCAAAATTCTAGTAACAGATGTTTATTGGGGCATGCTTCTGTATGTGAATTTCACATAAGGTTGAAATAAGAAAAATTTCAAAATCTGTACTAAACTCATAAATTCAGTAAGTATCCTGTTTATGTATAAATAGAAGGGCTACAAAGCTGGTGAAGGGCTTGGAACACACATCCTATGAGGAGTGGCTGAGAGAATGGGGGTTGTTTAGTCTGGAGAAGAGGAGACTCAGGGGAGACCTTATTGTTCTCTACAACTACCTGAAAGGCAGTTGTGGGGAGCTGGGGGTTGGTCTCTTCTCACAGGTAATTAGTGATACTAGTGATAGAACTAGAGGGAATGGCCTCAAGTTGTTCTAGGGGAGGTTTAGGTTGAAAATTCTGAGACATTTCTTTTCAGAAAGAGTGGTCAGGCATTGGAACGGGTTGCCCAGGGAGGTGTTGGCATCACTGTCCCTGAGGTGTTCAAGGAAAGGTTGGACCTGGTGCTTAGGGACATAGTTTAGTGGGTGACATTGGTGGTAGGGTGATGGTTGGACCAGATGATCTTGAAGGTTTCTTCCAACCTTAATGATTCTATGAAATGGCACTATTTCTTAAATAGTAATAATAGACGCTCTGTTCATCTGAATCATAGACTGGTTTGGGTTGGAAGGGACCTTAAAGGTCATCTAATTCCATAGGCAGGGACACCTCCCACTAGACCAGGTTGCTCAACGCCCCATCCAACCTGGTCTTGCCTCATCCCTGGAAGAGTTCATCCACAGCTTCTCTGGGCAACCAGTTCCAGTGCCTCACCAACCTCATAGTAAAGAATTTCCTCCTAATGTCCGATCTAAATCTACCCTCTTTTAGTTTAAAACCATTAACCCTTGTCCTATTGCTACACTGCCTTTTAAAGAGACCCTCCCCAGCTTTCTTGTAGGCTCCCTTTAGGTACTGGAAGGTTACTATAAGGTCTCCCTGGAGCCTTCTCTTCTCCAGGCTGAACAACCCCAACTCCCTCAGCCTGTCTTCGTAGAAGAAATGTTCCAGACCTCTGATCAACCTTATGTTGGGGGGCCCCAGAGTTGAATGTAGTACTCCAGGTGGGGTCTCATGAGAGCAGAGTAGAGGGGGAGAATTACCTCCCTCATCCTGCTGATCATGGTTCTTTTGACACAGCCCAGGATGCGGTTCACTTTCTGGGCTGCAAGCTCACATTGCTGATTCATGTTGAGCTTCTCTTTAATTAACACCCCCAAGTCCTTCTCCTCAGAGCTGCTCTCAGTCCATTCTCCCCTCAGCCTGTATTTGTGCTTGGGATTGCCCTAACCCAGATGCAGGACCTTGTACTTGGCCTTTTTGAACTTCGTGAGGTTTGCACAGGCCCCCCTCTCAAGCCTGTCCAGGTACCTCTGCATGGCATTCCTTCCCTCCAGCCTGTCTACTGCACATGACACCACAGAGCTTGGTGTCATCAACCAACGTGCTGAGGGTGCACTCAATCCCACTGTCCATGTCAGTGTCAAAGATGGTAAGGAGCACTGGCCCCAATATTGACCCCTAAGGAACACTGCTCTTTACTGATCTCCACTTGGATGTCGAGCAGTTGATCACAACTCTTTGAGCGTGACCATTCAGCCAATTCCTTATCCACTGAGTGGCCTATTCACATCAAATCTACGTCTCTCCAATTTGAGAGAAGGATATCAAGTGGGATGGTGTCAAATGCTTTGCACAAGTCCAGGTAGGTGATGTCAGTTGCTCTTCCCCTATACACCAACACTGTAACCCCATCGTAGAAAGCCACCAGATTTGTCAGGTGTGATCTGCCCTTACTGAACTTATGTTAGCCATCACTGATAACCTTATTTTCCATGCTTTAGCATAGTTCCCAGGAGTATCTGCTCCATAATCTTGCTAGGCACAGAGGTGAGACTGACTGGCCCGTAGTTCCCTGGGTCTTCCTTTTTTCTCTTTTTAAAAATGTGAGTTATGTTTCCCCTCTTCCATTAAGTGGGAACTTGACCGGACTGCCATAATTTCTCAAATATGATGGACAGTAGCTTAGTACCTTTTGAGAGAGGTCATTCTCCACCTCTATCTGCTGGTCACGCATCTTTTCATAGAATCACTTAGGTTGGAAAAAACTTCCAAGATCATGAAGTCCAACCATTAATGTAGCACTGCCAATACTACCACTAAACCATGTCCCTAAGCACCACATCTACGTGTCTTTTAAATACCTCCAGGGGTGGTGACTCAACTTCCCTGGACAGACTGTTTCAATGCCTCACACCCCTTTCGGTGAAGAAATTTTTCCTAATATCCAACCTAAACCTCCACTGGCACAACTTAAGGCCATTTGCTCTTCTCCTGTTGCTTGTTGCTTAGGAGAAGAGACCAACCCCCACCCTGCTATAACCTCCTTTGAGGTAGTTATAGAGACATCTCCCTGAGCCTCCTTTTCTCTAGGCTAAATAACCCCAGTTTCCTTGCCTGCTCCTCATAAAACTTGTTCTCTAGACCCTTCACCAGCTTTGTTAACATTCTATGGACAAACTATAGCACCTCAATGTCCTTATAGTGAGGGGCCCAAAACTGAACGCAGTATATTAAGGTGTGTGCTCATTAGAGGTTTTCACAGAATCAGAGAATTGAAAGGGTTGGAAGGGACCTCGAAAGATCATCAGGTCCAACCCCCTTGCCAAACAGGTTCCTTGGAGCAGGCAGCCTAGGTAGGTGTCCAGATGGGCCTTAAATATCTCCAGAGAAGGAGACTCCACGACATCCTTGGGCAGCCTGTTCCAGTGCTCTGTCACCCTCACCATGAAGAAGTTCTTTCGCGTGTTGGTGCAGAACTTCCTGTGCTCTATCTTGTGACCATTACTCCTTGTGCTGTCCCTGCAAACCACTGAAAAGAGGTTGGCCAAATCCCTCTGTCTCCCACACCTCAGGTATTTATACACATTGATGAGATCCCTTCTCAGTCTACCTTTTTCCAGGCTGAACAGACCCAGGTCTCTCAGCCTTTCCTCATAAGGAAGATGCTCCAGGCCCTGTATCGTCTTTGTGGTCCTCCGCTGGACTCTTTCCAGGAGATCCCTGTCTTTCTTGTACCGGGGAGCCCAGAACTGGACACAGTACTCCAGGTGAGGCCTGACCTCAGGCCAGAGTAGAGGGGGAGGATCACCTCCCTTGACCTGCTGGCCACATTCCTTTTAATGCATGCCAGGATGCCATTGGCCCTCTTGGCCATGAGGGCACACTGCTGGCTCATGGTCAACTTGTCGTCCACCAGGACCCCCAGGTCCTTCTCCTCAGAGCTCCTCTCCAGCAGGTCGTCCCCCGGCCTGAACTGATACATGTGGTTGTTCCTTCCGCGGTGCAGGACTCTACACTTGCTCTTATTAAACCTCATTTGGTTTCTTCCTGCCCAGCTCTCCAGCCTGTCCAGGTCTTGCTGAAAGGCAGTACAGCCTTCTGGCTCCCAGCTTTGTGTCATCAGCGTACTTGCTGAGGGCAGACACTATTCCCTCATCAAGGCTGTCAATAAAGATGTTGAACAAGACTGGACACAACACTGACCCCTGGGGAACACTGCTAGTCACAGGTCTCCAGCCAGATTCTGCGCCGCCGATCGCCACCCTCTGAGCTCAGCCAATCAGCCAGTTCTCAACCCACCTTACTGTCCACTCCTCTATCCCACACTTTCTCAGCTTTTCTATCAGGATGTCATGGGAGACAGTATCGAAAGCCTTGCTAAAGTCAAGGTAGACGACATCCACTGGTCTCCCCTCATCTACCCAGCTGGTGATGCCATCATAGAAGGCAACGAGGTTGGTCGAGCACGACTTCCCCTTCCCTTCCATGCTGACTACTCCTCATAACCTTCTTCTCTTCCAATTGCTTGGAGATGGCATCCAGAACGAGCTGTTCCAACACCTTTCCAGGGACAGAGGTGAGACTGACTGGCCTGTAGTTTCCTGGATCCTCCTTCTTGCCCTTCTTAAAGACCGGAGTGGCATTGGCTATCCTCCAATTATCAGGCATCTCTCCTGTTCTCCAGGACCTTTCAAAGACGATAGAGAGCGGTTTGGCGATCACCTCTGCCAACTCCCTTAGCACACGTGGATGCATCCCATCGGGACCCATGGATTTGTGTGCGTTGAGCCCACTCAGACGCTCCCGAACCACTCCCTCATCAACCAGGGGGGAGACCTCCATTTCCCAGACTCTTTCTCCTCCCTCCAGGGTCCAGGAGTCCTGGGGGGGGGGGGGGGGTCCTTGAAGCAAAGACTGAAGCAAAGAAGGCATTTAGTATCTCCGCCTTCTCAGCGTCTCCCATTACCAGGACACCCCCCTCGTTCAGCAAGGGACCCACATTATCCCTAGTCTTCCTTTTACTGCTTACATACTTAAAAAAAAACCCTTCTTATTATCTTTTATCTCTTTTGCAAGCCTCATCTCTAGGTGGGCTTTAGCCTTCCTTGTCGCGTCCCTGCAGGCCCTGACAACACTTCTATACTCCTCCCAAGAGGACAGGCCCTTTTTCCACATTTCATAGACCGTCCTCTTCCTTTTGATCTTATTGATGAGCTCCTTGCTCATCCATGCGGGTTTCCTGCCCCCCTTCCCCGATTTCCTACTCTTAGTGATGCACCGATCCTGAGCTTGGAAGAAATGCTGTTTAAATGTAGCCCAGCTCTCACATGCACCCTTGCCTTCTAGCAACCTAGCCCATGAGATACTCCCAAGCAGGTCCCGGAAGAGGTCAAAGTTGTCTCTCCGAAAGTCCAGGGTTGCAATCCTGCTTTTAGCCTTACTTCTTCCACCAAGTTCCATCTTGAACTCCACCACCTCATAGTCACTGCATCCCAAGCTGCCCCCGACCTTCACATCCCTAACAAGCCCATCCCTGTTGGTAAGGACAAGTTCAAGGAGCACCCCCCTCCCCGTCGGCTCTTCCACCACCAGCGTCAGAAAATTGTCTTCAGTGCATTGTAGGAACCGTTTGGCCTGTGCATGCCTGGCCGAGTTGCTTGTTTTGATGCAACCCAGGATATGGTTGACTTTCTGGGCTGCAAGCCCATGTTGCCAGCTCATGTTGAGTTTTTCATCCATCAACGCCCCCAAGTTCCCACAGGGCTGCTCTCTATCCACCCATCACCCAGCCTGTATTCATGTTTAGGATTACCCCAATCCAAGTGCAGGACACTGCACTGACTTCTGAGCTTTTACCTGTAACATGTTTGTTTTGTTGTTGGTGTTTTGTTTTTTTTAATTTAAGTGGCAAGAAGCTACACTATGTGAAGCCGTGGTCTTAAATAGACACTATGCTTTGTCATGTTTCTGTTGGCACTGTTTAACATACTGTATCTTTTGTTTCAGGTTTGTAACAGCATGTTTAACAGTTGGGATCAATTTAAAGATCACTTGGTAACACACACTGGTGACAAACCCAACCACTGTACCTTATGTGATTTGTGGTTTATGCAAGGCAGTGAGCTTAGAAGGCATCTCAAAGACATGCATGATATTTCAGAACAACTAGTGACAGAAGAGGTTCTTCCAGTGGAAGCTGTGGATATTGAACCAGTAACATCAATGACTATAATAGAACAGGTGGAGCAAGTCCACGTCCTACCAGTAATTCAGGTACAAGTGGATCCTGCACAGGTAACTGTGGAACAGATGCACCAGGATCTCATACAGGACAATCGAGTGAAAGGCATGCAGATGGATGAACTGCAAGAACAGGTGCAAATTAGTTATTTGGAAGTTGAGCACATTCAGACTGAACAAGGTGCTGAAGTTCATGCGGAGGAGTTGCATGTTGAGCATGTAAATCAAATACAGATGGAAGAAGTACGGGCTGAACTTATAGATGGAACAAACCTTGAACAAGTAGAATATGAAAGTGTTGATCAAGGAGAAGCAGAAAAAAGGAAATCCAGTCACATAGATGATGTAGATAAGGAAGATCATGAACAAGCTGAAGACAATTAGTGGACACTGAATGAAAAGGTGGATGACTAGGACAATCAACCACACTGTGCAGGTTTACAAATGAAATGCCAAATTATATTTGTTAACTTTTACATTGGCTTTTGAACCATCAGTGGTCATCTTTCCGATGTTATTTCCTTAGAAATACGGACAAGTGGACCAAAGTTAGTTTTCTTTGTGTACAACTAAATTTCTCTCATATGTGAAAAATAACTCACTCATGTAATAACACAGAGCAAAATACCATAGAGATGGACGGCTTTGTGAAGATTTTGATAATCCTCACAAATTATTGTTATATCATCCTTGGGTATATGTAAGAGTAACCTCTTTTCTTCTTGCCATAGAAGCAAACTCTTGTTATAGATTTGCAGAGTGTCTGTGGCAGAAGAATTAGTAAAATCTGGTGGGTTCTAATATAAATGACCAATGGGGTACCTGTGAGTTTTCTGGGTGGGCTGTTTGCCATCCAACTGCAGTGTTGTATCTAACAGCAGTCCCTGCATTTCTTTAATCTGAGAAGCTTTATATCAAGCTGGAACTTCTGAACTTTCAGTATGGGAGAAAACCATTTTTGCTGGAGCACAAAAATCCTGTGCCTTTTCAACACTGACTGGTTAAATTTCCACAAAGGTCCTAGTGTGTTCAAGAACCTAGTTCAGTAAAAGGCAATGTAAGTAATGTCATAATACTTTATATTTTTGCTTAAAGTTAATTGTCAACTACTGATTTTTTTTTGCATTAAATTTAGAATGAGGCAGGTTGAGGGAGGAAACATTCCATATGGAGGCAATAGGACATTCTAAAAGGAACACATTAAAATAGGAAAAGCTCAGTAGAATCTGTGCTAAACATGAGCTGGAAGAAAGCTATCAGCATACTCTTTTATAAATCTTCATTTTTGAAAATGAATGTGTTTAAACAAATTGAGAAGACTCATTTCTATGGTATCAGGTTCCTGTTTTTTTGAAATTAAATTCTGACACTTGACAAAAAAGATGACACGCTAAAAATAGAAGTAAAAGTATGAGTGCTAAACTGTGGATTAAAAGTAGGAGTAAATATTTTAATCAATATTAAACAATAAAGCAATACCAACCATGAAATGTTCATTATTTGCTTCATCCAATAAACTAGGAACAATTGAGTGACTGGCAATTACAGTGCCAGATCCCAGTGTTAAGAGTCAATCTCATTTTAATGAGATAAATAGTTCATTACTGTGGTTTGTTTAGAAAATATTGGTCTGGCTCTGTTTTCAGCCATGCTAAGGACTTCTAATTCTCAATTATTACCTTGAGATTAGAGTCATTCCATACTTATGAAAAACTTTCTTTTCAAAGCCTTAACTGAAGGGAGGAATTCTTGCAAGGAAGTTCCCTAATGCACTTAGTAATCCTGTAGATCTTAGTTAAAATCAAGCTTTTCTATTCAGTCTTCTCCTAAGGTAGAAATATTTCCTCAAATCTGTGCTTCTATTTAGTCTCATTCAAAACAATTCTTGTGTTTCATCTTACCCTTTGAGAAATTGTTGCAAAACAAACATGGATCTCAATTAAAATTTTTAACAATGTGATTAATGTAACTTGCATTCTTTTTTAATGACGTGTTGTGTTTCCTGAGATTCAAGTAGTATGTGATGTAATTCTGTGCTAAGGGAAGAATGTGGCCCAATGTTAATCATGCAAGTGAAAGTTGGTAATTGTATTTATAGTTGGCTTTTGATAAGAAGCCCAGTTTTTGATAACATGCAGGGAACATATTATCTCTGCCTTTACTGGAGAAAGGAGAAGGATGCTGACTGTATTGCTCCTCCTCTACACAGGATGAAAGCAGTCTCAGATCCTAACTGTGATTTGTACCCATAGAGTTCCTTTCCCAGGTGTTGAGCAAGGCAGAGTTTGCCTTTCAGTGCCTGTCTGTGTGAGTGGAGGCTATGCTGGGTTAAGGGTTTGGGTTCAACATGGGGGAAGGCCTTAGGGACAGGGTGAAAGGCTTTCTTCAAGCAATAACTCCACTGGAAAGTTTTTCCCTTTGCAAATCCCAATTCCCTACCTATAATTCCCTTCCCAAATGTCTGAAGTTCAAATTGATCCTACCTCATGAGTCAGTCCAGTGGAAGCCCCCATGTCTCCATGCTGCAACTGATACTGGCGGGGGGGGGAAGTTTTTGGGAATCAGAAGTTGTGGCTGCTCTCTGTAGTGGTCTCTTTGCTACGGTCTTTCTACCCCAAACGTCTTTATAGACACACAGACCTCTCCAAACTACCCAGCACCATAGGTGTTCTTCCCTATAAATACGTATATACTGTTGATCCTCAGAGACCTGTATTGTTCTATTGCTTGCAACAGGTCAGCATACAGCAGCACTTGATGCTTGCAGTCTGCAGTATGTCTTGGCGTATAGAGTCAATAGTTGAATTTATGCAGAATGAAACTAATCAGATAAAGCAATGGGGTTTAGGCAGTGAGAAATGGAAAAGACGGAATGAACAGAAACACGTGAGGTTGTGGAGAATAGACTTGTTAGTGTGACTGATGAGCACCAGCTTTGGGCAAATGGGAGTTGAGCAGCTTGTTCTTGTTTATCTCTTATACAAACTTTGTGGATGGAAGTCCTTAAGATTGCTATGAGTCTTGTGTTGGTGGGACAGCCCTGTTTTGGAGGCAGAACAGAATCTTGAGAATACACGGTGCCCAAGTGAAACCTTTTGCTTTGTTATGTGTAAAATGAATATTAAGTTTGCATCCCTGAATATGATAATGAGCTTAAAGAAGTAGATGCTAAACATATGCAACTATAGTACTCAACTCTTCATCCGAATCATGCAAAATGTCACCCCAGGGAGGGAGCAGATAAGGCTAGGATATAAAAGACTGTTAGGAGTCAGTGTTAAAAATAGGGGAAGAAGAAAGAAAAAAAAAAGAGAGAAGTAGAAAGAGAAGATGAATTTAGTGAGGAGAAAAAAAAAAAAAGAGCTGGGGGGGAGAAAGAAGAAATTGGAAAACTAAAAGAGGCTGTGCCCTTTCTCCTCCACCAAAACAGGGACGTCTTGGTAAGCTCTGTGCCTTCACCATTTGGTGAGAAATACCTGGGATAGTATTCTGCTAGCACTATTATCATATATCAGTGCTATTGCAGTAAGTGTGTTTATCAACAGCAATTCCAAATCTGTTATATCTGTCACCTTATTAAATATGTTCAACTTTGTGAAACTGTCTCAGTGAAAGTCCTTGGCAGGGCTTTGAAACAGCCAAGCACTGGACTCTGAAAAGTCCCTTTTTTAATGAGGCAGAAATGTGTTTTGTTATAAAATGTGAGCATTAAATTCAGACTGAGGTTACGGGTAGACTTCAGGATTTATATGTGATACTCATGAAAAGCCAAAAACTATTTCTGAAAGTAGGGCAAGGAAGGGAAAGGGAGCTGATCAACAGTTTGAGAGCTGCTGAATTATTCAGACAATATAAGAAAGGATTGGTTGCTTTTTTGGAAAACAGTTTCCTTGAGCTAAAGAAAGTTTAATCTGCAGACTTATGAGGATGAAATCAAATGTCATTCTTGTGCAAAACAGTCACTAGAAGAGGATCTTGCAGCCTCTGCTTTTGTTTGTGAATCTGCAGTAGAACTTTTACCTAGCTAATGGTGCGGGATATGGTACTGTCACAGAGATTCTGTAATTGATTATTATATCAAATGATTTTTTATATTACATTTATAATAGATGTTTAATTTGGTTGCTTATTTTTAAGGATTGAAGCATCTCCTCAACAGGGACTATCATATGAAAATGTAATATGCAGTTGGATCTTTGTTGTTGCTAACAGCTTTGTTCTTAGACTTGTGTTTGCTGCTATATGTACAAATATTTTGTAACTTTGGAGCTACACTTTTTTTATAGCAATTGTTTTTGTCAACCAGTTGCCAGCTCAGGCAGTTCTCACAGACAATGGAACCTTTTTCTGATTCACCAGCTCAAATTGTGAGAATTACATTGTGTTTTTGCAGTGGAAAACTCCAGTAACCTTGCATGTTCAAAAGTGATTGTGCAGGCATGACAGTGGGGAGTATGTTAAGCACATAAGAGGAAGGTCCCACTGTCCCAAAATAAGGAGGATAGCTAAGAAAAACAAGATAAGCAATGTCAAATCAGTAAAAACAAAAATCACGGGCTCTCTAGTCACGAGAGAAGAAGGAAAAAAATGTAAAGGAGAAATTAACGGTTGGTCAAATATAATTGTACAATATACGGTATAGTAATAAGTATTGAATAGGTTGTGAACCTGTAGTACTCAGCCAATGAGGAAATTGGAGGAATCAAGCATTGGTAATAGGGGATATAAGGTTATAATACACTTCTGCTCTGTGCTTCTGCTTGCAGGATGCCCACCATTGCAATTGAGAATAAAAATGCTACTTTAAAGCCTTTGACACCATCTCCCACCGCATCCTTGCAGCTAAACTGAGGAAGTGCAGTCTGGACGATTGGGTAGTGAGGTGGACTGTAAACTGGCTGAAGAGAAGAAGCCAGAGGGTTGTGGTTAATGGGATGGAGTGGAGTTGGAGTCTTGTATCTAGTGGAGTCCCTCAAGAGTCAGTACTGGGACCGGTTGTCGTGGTTTAACCCGGCCGGCAGCTAAACACCACGCAGCCATTCGCTCACCCTCCCCCCTCCCTCTCTGGGACGGGGGAGAGAAATGGAGAGTGAAGCCCGTGAGTTGAGATAAAGACAGTTTAATAAGACAGGAAAATAATAATAACAAAAATAATAATAACAATAATAATAATAATGATACAATGGTGATAATACGAAAGTAATAGTATGTACAAACAAGTGATGCACAATGCAATTGCTCACCACTCGCTGACCGATGCCCAGCCTAACCCCGAGCAGTCCGGCCCCCTCCCCCCAGCTAGCCACCCCTATATATTGTTTAGCATGACGTCAGATGGTATGGAATACCCCTTTGGCTAGTTTGGGTCACCTGTCCGGGGTCTGTCCCCTCCCAGCTCTTACTGCACCCCCAGCCTGCCCGTTGGCAGGACAGAGCAAAAGGCTGAGATGTCCTTGGCTTAGTATAAGCACTGCTCTGCAACAATTAAAGCATTGGGGTGTTATCAGCACTCTTCTCATCCTAAGCCAAAACACAGCATTCCACCAGCTACTAGGAAGAAAATTAATTCTGTGCTAACTGAAACCAGGACAGGTATGAGTGAGATGTGCTAGAGGCCTCTCTCTGTGATTGCATGATTGTGCTGTGAGTGAGACACAGCGTCGCTGCAAAACGAGTGAGGAGTTCTGATCCGTGGTTCCGTATTCTCCGCGAGGGGAGTGGGCGGAGACGAACGAAGTGCGTGACAGACCGAAAAGAAGTGCTGTTTTATCCAAGTTTTGAGTTGTGGTGCCTAATATATGGGCCTGGCGGTGTATCTTGTGATCCTGTTTTTGCTCTTAAATGCTTTGAGTGTGACAAGAAAAAGGTGGGAGCATTATCTAAGTAACTAACAGTTGAGAACTGTTGGTGTATTTGCTGCTGTGTTTGGTCAGTTTCCCAAGTACTGGCGGGGGGGGGGGGGGGGGGGGGGGGGGGAAGGGGGCAGACTGATTATCAAAGCGGTAGAACGGAGAGAGTCATTTCTTTGGTGGTTCGGGCTTGAGCCCTGAGAATTTGGTAAGAAGGGGGAGAGTGAATTTATTTAGGCGTCAATACCTTTTTAAACCCCCATATTGACAGATACACAGGAGTGATTCCTGTTGCGAAGCATGGCCGAAAGCACAACAGACACCAGTAGAGTCAGATCATGCTTCAACTTTATTGCCCGAATAGCCCAACTTTTATAGTGAATTTTACAGAGATGAACAGTGTTTCACGCAAGATTATTGGTCAAAAGCACCCAGACAAAACCGTTAAGAAAATAACATTACCTGCAAGAAAAGAACCCCCCTTTTGATTAGAAGTTAGGAAAACAACCCCCTTTGTGCTTAACGGTCGCGTAGACCTAGTCCTTGAGGCCAGCTGCTGATAACAGTATTATCTGAGTTCCTTAATTGGGTACTATGGGAGTCATTGCAGTAGGAGCTTCTCACAGTTACTCTGGCAGCTTGGTTTGCTCAGTTACAGCAGGCCCTGAGATTTCTAAGGCCTACCCCTGGTTGCTTAAAGCAAGCTTAGATCGAACAATTATGCCAATTCCCAACAATTCCCCCGTTTTCTTTTTGTACAGGCTGTTATAAGTTAGACCACACAATTTTCTGGTCTATTGAAATTATTTTATTAATCAAGTAAGCAGACACAAGCAAAACAGCGCTGGGCGGCTGGGGAGTCTCCGCTCCACCACAGCACGCAACTTCCCTTTCCAGGGTTGCTGTTTTATAGCAGTCAAATTCCGGCTTATCAGGACTTGTTGAACTGGCTGAGGCTGCGCAGTCTATTGTTGAGAGGGGGGTCGTTGTTCCTCTGCTTCATGTTCAGGTGGGGGAAGTGAAGTGGCAAAAAGGATGTCTCGTGGTAAGGAATTTCACAGACTCTGGTTTCACTCAAGGATGTTTACCCAACACCCCCTCCTGGTATCTGC